CCCCAAAACCCCAAAACCCCAAAACCCCAAAACCCCAAAACCCCATGCATTAAGGCAACGATTGGAATAATATAATTAGTTTAAATTATTAGCAACATGGCTAAAAATCTTAAAGGGAAAGTAATAGCTATTGGTGACTCTAAATATTTGGTAGGAAATAAGATTTTGACAACTGATTTTTCTACTTTTTATCATGCTACTTGTGATACAGTTCGGTCTTCGATTGTTTTAAAGCATATCTATTGAGAAGCAGATGAGACTGTCAAAGTTGAATCTATTAAGAACGAAAATGCTTTTTGGAAAATTCCTTCTCATAATAATCTGGTCAAATGAATAGACATGAAAAAGATAAAATAAGAACGATAATATCCAGGTCATCTTTGTCCTAGAGTATTGTATCAATACACTCTCTACAGTAATCGAAAAGAACAGAGATAAGGGAGAAGATGGGCTTAGAGAGAGACTTATCATTCAGATTCTCAATGATATTGTTCAAGGGCTAGTTCATATGATTCAAAGCGAACCTCCTCTTTATCATAGAGACCTCAGAGTGGAAAACATACTTCTGGGTAGTGATGGGTATTACAAAATCTGCAATTTTGGAAGTTCAACTAAATAAAAGAAGTATTGTGATCGATGGTGATTTGGAGAAAATTGAATACCAAATAGAAAACTTTACAAAGCCAGAATATAGAGCTCCTGAGCAAATTCTTTTGTCATCAGATTATTGAATTAGTGAGAAAGTTGATATTTGGGCTTTGGGTGTAATTTTGTACAAGATGATGTTCCTTAAAGAAAAATTTGTGCCCGTGACTCGGGATAGCCTCACAGTTGAGATTCCAGATTCAACAAAGTACTCCAAACCATTAAGAAATTTATTAAGGAAGTTGTTCAAAATAGATCCAGAAGAAAGACCCTCAATTGCTCAAGTAAGCAAATATGTGAAGAAGCTACTGAATGGTGAACCAATAAAAGCTAAGAAGACTAAAAGAGAAAACGATACATCAGAAGAAGAGAAGGATGTGGCTATGAATTATACATCAGAAGAAGAGAAAAAGGTTACCATAAATGATACTTCTGTGCGACTTAAAGAAATAAAGCCTGAGCCAGTAATAGAAGTAGAATCAGAAAAGTTATTGAAATCTCAAATAATCCAAGGTATCACCAAGATTAATGGAAGTGAAGTGATTCTCAAGGAATCTCCCAAAGCTCCAGAAGTTCCAGACGTGCCTGAAATGACCGAAGCTGTTAAAGAAATTCCGATAAATGAAAAGACAATCACGGAATTAGTGAAATTAGCAACAGAAAGCGAGAATAGTTCACCTAATATTCAAGTTATTTCTACCTTAGTTCTGAGAGCATGGAAAAATGAAGATGACATTTATGATTTTTACAATAAAATGAAAACAACTGATTACTCTGAGAGCACTATTGTTGCTCTCAAAGCTTTGGCTTGCATTCATAGATATATTCTCTGAGGACCAGGATCTCAGCAAGAAACAATAATTTTAATTTCAAAAATTCATGACTGATGGAAAGAGAGAATAGATGACGATGATAAAAATGAAAAATTGCAAACTGAGTATCCGGCTGAAATAATTGTGAAATACTCAAAAATATTATTGAGAAAAGTTGAGTTGTATAAGGAAACAAAGCATTTATTTAGTCAATCATATTGCCTTGATAGGTATTTTATGAGAAAAGACACAATATAAAGGGAAGCCCGCTAGCATTAAAAGTAATCCAATCTCTCATGATGTTATGGTCTGAAATCAAGACAATACATGATGTTATTTGTAAGTGAAAATATCTCAGAAAAGTCCTTGATTTTGTGTGAGTTTCTCTGCTCGAAGAAGAGTACTTGCTCATCTCTCTGCTGTCCAATCTGTACCACTCCTTCAAAATCACACTCAAAGCCACACACAAAGGCTCTGATTTGTGCAACGAAATGGAGAAACTCGACCAGTTGTTTGTTGAAAACTATGCGTCCACATATTGGTTCTACCACCAGTCAATCAGAATTGACGAAGTGCTCGACCTCAGAAAGCGACTCCCGCATTTCCCGATCGTTCTGGTAAAATACTTCAGACTGAATGAGTTCTTGAACAACCTTAGAGTCAGAGGCAACCTCAAAGACATCCTGACATTCTTGAACTCGGCTCAGCAAGTATGCGGACTCACGCTTCCGAAGATGTTCCACAGCACCAAGCTGACTTCGCTGAGTGAAGGCTCTGCAGAAAGCAACTACGAGCCATTCCAGGACTATGAAGGAGGCGACAAAGTTGTCAAAGACAGTGTCCATCCATCTCCACCACCGCTTGAAACGATTCTCAAAGCAGCTTTTGCTGTGAAGCGAGTGGACCCGATTGCTCAGAATGTGCCAGCAGCTAGAGGTCATCCTGAGGGTGTGATGGGGGCCATGTCAAGAAATGCTCCAACCGAACGAGGAAACTCCAAAAATGCAGTCAACAGAAACCCTGCTTCAAACAACATTTATCAAAACACTGACGTTTTTCTATCATCAGAGAAACTGGCTGAGCGCAAAGTGCCTCGATCACTCAGCAAAAAGCGAGCTGACAGCGAACACAAGCACCCCATGATTCACTCTTCAAGCAGAACCAGAATACATGAAGCTCAGGGTCTGGATTCTCCGACTCAGAACAACTCCCAAGGTTTGAACGGAGCTAACAAGCCAGCAGGACTGCCTCCAAACCCAGCTTTATTACACAAAAGACAGAAAAGCAGAGACATCACCGAAATGAACAGCCAAGAAGTCCAGAGCATGAACCCGAGTCAGAACTTCAAGTTTCCGCCTCCGACCATGAGCATGAGTTCTGGCAAATAGCTGGTACTCCGGCAACAACCAATCGAACCCGATGCGAAATGTATTGTACCCAGTCAGCCCTAGCAAGCGGGCTGATCCCCTGAAGGTAAACAACTTCTCAAGCAAGAACTCTGGTAGCTCAAACAACGGCTCTGGCGCTGCAAACTTGCTGACCAAGTACGCGACTGAAGGCAAGTTTGACGCAGCAGATGATTCACAAGACACCAAAGACAAAGAACTCATGGCCAGAAACACCAACTCTACCGGAGGCTCAGACAGATTCCAGGACGACACAGCCAGCAGCAAGTATGTGCACTCAGACTTATTGAACGCTTCGTACCCGGAGTGCAGCCTTGAGAAGAGTTCGGCTTCAGCTCCTGTGCATCCACACCGCTCAAACAGAAACTCGAATGGGCCGCCAATGCCAAGCCCGTTCGGGCCTCCTGACCAAAATATGGGGTTCAAGCCAGAGGTACTTTGCTCGTAACGTTTAGACGATGGGGACTCCACACAACAAACTGTTTATGGAGGAGAACAAGGACTTGGCTGGAGCAGCCAGAGGTCCTCCACCGAGTTTGAAACAGCAGTTGATGGATGTGAATGCAAGGATCCGGAAGCAGCAGGAAGATGCCAAAGGAAACAAGTCGAGCATTGAAGATAAATATATCCTCAACATGACTGATTTAAAAATTGAGAAACAAATTGGCGCAGGAGGATCAGCTAAGGTATATAAAGGAAAATTTAATGATCTGGATGTTGCAGTGAAAAGGCTAGATCTGAGTAGTATTGGAGTCGGCAAAGCTCGACAAGAATTCAAAAGAGAGGTCAATACTCTCAACAAAATTAACCATAGAAATCTTGTAAGTTTTGTTGGAGTGGCTTTTGATAAACAGAATTTCTGTATTGTAACTGAGTTTTGATTTGGAGATTCGTTATTTGAGCTATTACACAATTATTCACATATTTACTTATCTTGGAAACAAAAACATACAATATGATTAGATGTCGCAAAAGGTATGGGATACTTGCATCATTCTTTTGATAAGCCTATTTTACACCGAGATCTTAAAAGTTTAAATCTTCTGATGAAATACCAAATAACTTCCGAAGCTGATCAAATCATTACAAAGATTACTGATTTTGGTCTTGCTAGAGAAAAAGGGATGAAGAATGAAATGATGACCCAGAATGCTGGAACTTTTCATTGGATGGCTCCAGAAGTCATGGATGCTAAGCCTTATACTCATAAAGCTGATGTGTATTCTTATGGTATTGTTTTATATGAAATTTTATCAAGAACTACTCCATATCTTGGCATGAGTGCAACTCAAATAGTAGCAGGAGTTCTCAGTCGAAGAGAAAGGCCAGACTTAACAAAAATTTCTGATGACTGCCCCATAGAATTAAGGGATCTAATGATACAGTGTTGGGATCAAGATCCTGATCAAAGGCCTGATTTCAGGGATATTGTACAAACTCTGACAGAAATGCAAATTTAAATAATAATTTCAATGCTTACAAATGACTTCGGGGTTTTGGGGTTTTGGGGTTTTGGGGTTTTGGGGTTTTGGGGTT